AGGAAATGATTCCCCAGCCCTGCAGGCGTATGCTTATTGATTAGCGTTTGTAAAGAAAAGCGTGGGGACATTTGCAAATAAAATGGGGCCCGGTTGACCATAAAAAAAAATGGGCCCCGGTTCCAGCCTGTGATGTTTTCTCGGCCTCGTTGGATGGCGGGCGTGACGACTGGTTCTTTCCAGAGGATTGTTAATACAGGTCTTGTTTGGACAGCCATTTTTCAAAGAAAATTTGTTATGTTTTTCGTGAACATATTTTTCAATTATTTTTTATCTCACGTGTATCAAATTGCTACAATAATTTTCCTACAAAAAATTTAAAAAAATGTAATCCAAACACAACTCTTGTCTATTTGCAAATTTTTTTTTCTTTCTTCGGGGAACAAATATTTGGTTTCTGGGTAATTTACTTCACAACCTTATTAAGATTGCAAAATTATTTGGTAAAAAATAAAAATTTTAAGATTCTCCAACGACCTTTATTACGACCTTTTTTTCCCCCAATGTTTTCAGTCATCCTTCTATGTCCCAAACACATCAATAGAAGATGTTGAAGTGAACAGAATTCTTCTTTTCTTCAATTAATCTACAATGAAAACACATAATTCAGCTTTATTTCCATCCTGGCTTATTTCTTTGGTTTCTTGCTTTCCTTTTATTTTCTCTGGTTCTTTCTCTCGTCTTACCTCCACAGCCAAGTAGAGCTCCCTCCTCCTCTCAACTTACACCAATGCCATAAAGCCCTCCTTTCTCTCTCTCTCTCTCTCTTTCGTACATAATAAATACAGAAAAATCCACCACGAAGCTCTATCTTGAACCGCTCTTATCCATCAAAGCAGCCACCGCTGTCGTGGTTATGGCTGGATTCTGCACCATTGCACCAGATACCAGATATCTTCATTCTTGCTGAAACCTTTGCAGATATCTTGTGGATTTGAAGGGAGGAGAGGGAGGAGGAAGGAGTGAAGTAAGGGATGAGGAGGATTGTGATTGCTCGGCTGTTGAGAGAAGTATGAAAAGAAAGAATGGAGAATGAGATAAACAGTTTCAATTAAAAAGTAGCTATGTTATGTGAAATGACCCTTTATTAATGGCCAGCCAGTGCATTCCAATTTCCAAAGGTTTAGGAATGTCTACTTGCACAGCATACTTTGTAAATTTATTATCCGTGACAACCTTTCCTCGGACATCCACTTGCACCCCTCATCTACTTTCTACTACCCCCAGATGTGGGCTGTTACTTGCTGCGGAATTGGATAAACAAGAAGTTGAGGTAGAACACCATTACAGCAGAAACGCCATTCATTACTGGGACAAATTCTACCATCGCCACAAGAACAAGGTCACCCCTTTATTCTACTATTACTACTCTCTCATTTTAGTTCTTTGTATTTTAAAAAATGTTTGCTTGTTGTCTAAATTCAAGTGCATCAAATAAATGTACAGTTTTTTAAGGATAGGCACTACTTGCAGAAGGATTGGGGACAATATTTCTGTGATAATGATATCAATGATACAAATTCACCAAAGAGAAAGGTTGTTTTGGAGGTAACTCAATGGCCCTTTAGTCACCCTATCTTGGGCCTTTTTTATTATTATTTTTTAACTCATCACAGTCAGCATATGTTTTGATGCTGATAGGGTAACTGACAGGTGGGTTGTGGAGCGGGGAATACCATCTTCCCACTTATTGCTGCATACCCTAATATATTTGTTCATGCCTGTGATTTCTCTCCTCAGGCTGTCAGTCTTGTTAAGGTTTGTCACTCAACCTCAATCTTGCCGTCATGGACCTTTTTCACATGTAACTTTTCATAGTTCAGTATTTCAAAAGTCACCAATAAGCTAGATGCAACCTGATTTCCTTTGTTCAACTTGGAGTCTTTCTCTCGTACGGTTATAATTTAAGTGCAAACTCCAAAAAAACATGCTGTTGCCTTTTCCTCCTTATGTGAATTTAGAACCAAATATGCAAGGCAATAAGGTTGCATGTAAGGGTTATGGGTAACAGAGGTTATTTCTTAGTATGGCCGTTAATCTATCTGTAAGCAGATATAGTATGTAGTTGAATTTGAAGTTCCAAAGACAGCATAATTGATGAGTTTTGAGAAAGAACTACTATAATGGGAGAGAAAACAAGGGAGAGGATATTTACATCTTCTGTTCCAACAAATAATCGCGCATGCCATGAGAGAAGGGAGCTAAGAATCAGTAGGAGGGGGGGGGGAGCGAGAGAGAGGTAGACTTCTATTGATTAATGAAGTACCATAACTCATATGAGCTGAAAGGATCTCCTATGAGTGGAAATAATGGAATTTCCTCATGTATCTGTAATACCAATTTGTTGTGTCTCGTGACAGGATCTCCTATGGGTGGAAATAATGGAATTTCCTCATGTATCTGTAATACCAATTTGTTGTGTCTCGTGACATTTTACTGTTAATGAACTTGCAGAGATCATTGCAATAATTTGTCCCCAGATGGAGCAGAAATTGTCCAAGTTTGGTAGTATTAAATTCAGTGTGACACTTACAGCATCAACCTTTTCTATTATGATAATCAGAATAATATTTACATGTATGATCATGTTATGGTGATTCATCAAAATTAGCGTAACGTTACAGTATCATTGCAGATGTTAGTGAAAATATTTCCCTTATAGAATTATGCGTGGTTTTAAAGCTAGTATAGATCATAATCGTCATGAGTAGTGTGAATAACATAGATTATTTTGCTGAATGCAGTCACATGCAAGTTTCAACAATGGTTGTGTAAATGCTTTTGTCTGTGATGTTGCAAAAGATGACCTTTGCATTAACATAAAACCTTCTTCTGTTGACATTGTTACCTTGGTAAGTAGGCCATATCACAGTTTTGGTATCTATTTAGTGCTTATTTTCTGACAAGATCTCTAGTATTATCTATACATATAATGCTGTTATCTTCTTCATCATATCAGGAAAAAGCATGGCCTGATAAGGCACTTATAGTCTTTCAAGCAATTTTTAAATGAATAGTACTTGTAATGGTATATTATGGAGAGAAGCTGGCATAATCAACTAACTTCTTAAGCAGATTTTTGTGTTGTCTGCAGTTACACCAAGTAAAATGACTTTGGTGTTGCAGAACCTTAAGAGAGTATTAAAGGTACATATTCAATAATGCCTTTTTTTCCCACTATTTATTATTTGTGGATTTTCACCATAATGTCATTGGGTGGATATCTCATTTTGCAGCCAGATGGTCACATTCTTTTACGAGATTATGCTCTAGGAGATTCTGCCCAGGTAAATTCTCCTTTTCAGTGCTCTGTTTCCCTCTTGCATTTTGCACTTTTCATTTATGCTAAAGCAATATTTTCGTTTTTTTTTTAACATTATTTACTTTTGGTATTTAAGTTTAAGAAAAGCCACTAGGTTTGCTTGACACTTCAATCACTTTAGACAATGTGTGGTAGCTGGCTAACACTATTCCCTTCACAACCATGTGAATGGGCAATAGAATTTATGCCATGCAAGTGTTCTTACCTTCATGTTCCCTCCCCTCCCATTGCCATGGTCATACAATCTTCTGAGGCATATTGCCAAGCTCTACTATTGCAACAAAATTCTTCAACCATTTCCATTATCTCAGGTGAAATTGCAGAATAGAAACCAAATAATTGACGATAACTATTGCTTCCGTGGAGATGGTACTGTAAGTACTATGTACTGGATCTGCAATGTATGTCTTGTCTGTTAATCTAGTGCTTGTGCAAACCCTACTAACGTTCATCTGTCCACAGTGTGCATTTTATTTCTCAGAGGATTTCTTGTCATCCTTGTTTGAGAGAGCTGGCTTCAGCATTGTGGATATCAGTACATATTGCAGAAAAATTGAGAATCGTTCCAAGAATATCGAAATTTCGAGGTGTCCATTTAATTTATAATTTTTTTCAAGGTTGCCTTAGTCTTAATTGCCAATCTCTCAAGTTTGAAGCTTTTGCACATAGGGGTTTGAAAGGAAATTACGTTAACTCTAACATTCTTATTCTTTTGGCAATGTATGAAGATTGGTTGGTTCTTGGCATGTCAAATTGCAATATTTAGATTCCCGGAAAGAATTATAACATCTGTTAGTCATGAATTTGCTGAAGTACATATGCAACTGCACCCTCAAATATGCACAATTTATCTGTTGAAAATGCATGGATGTTTTTAATTTCACTTTTGTGATTCTCTCTTGTCCTTCTATTCCCATTTTTGACAACTTTAGCTTCGTGATTTAGAGAAACAGTATCTTGATGGTGCAGTACCATTGTCTTCTAAAATTGGTGTCTTTTCCTTTAACCATAGTTTGGTTTTTGTGGTTAGGCGTTGGATACGTGCCATTTTCAGCCAGCTTTCAGTGCACCCTGCAATGAAGTGATATTAGTCAGTTCAGTAGCGGTTGTTTGAGCACTTGATCTCTTCATAGAATGTATATTGCCAACAGTGAGTGAGCCGTTGCCTTTGGCCCCGATAGTTATGTTTATTGATGGAATTTCATATTGCTAATAGCCAACCTGTAATTTGTAAATTGGCAGAAAAATATAATGCCGGAAGCTGCATAAGAGTACCTTTGACTGTCAGCTCTAAGTAGCTTTGTGTGCATACTTGAAGTCCTTCATCACATTTCATGAAAGAATCTATTGTCTCATTGACGTGGAAACTTTCATCTTATGTTGTTTTTATTGTGCACTGAAGCTCATAGAAGGGCAAGTGCTCAAAATATCACTCTTATTCTAAGTATTCGAATGTAATTGATGCTGACAATTTATGGTATGCAAGATTCTAAGGAAATCTCATTGAAGATTTATGCGATCATTTACCATAACTTGAGCATACAAAAGGAAAACATTAGGATTAATTTATCTAAATGACTTAAAGAAGCATACAGAGGGAAAATTTATCTTGCAAGAGCTAAATCACAAGTCTTGATGCAACATAAATGAAGTCTTAGAAGCCCCAGGAAAGTGCAATAGATATCCAAGACGTTGGTTATATTACTCGAGTCTTGAGTTCAAATATTCTAGGGTTTACGTGCACCTGTCAGGCTCACCCCATATTTGGAGTGTGCACATGCACAAGATTAGTTACTACGAGGTCTAGATTATTGCAGGACACTGTCCCAAAATGGAAAAGCAGAGAGAAAGAAAAATGTCCTACAGGGCAAGATGCCCAAGCGTATCTGATCTATACAAGCAATAATCAGGTAGCCACTTTTGAAGAACTAGCTCAGAAGATTCTTCAAGGTTGCATTCAGGTGCTTCCATTTTTTAAAGTGTATCTGCATTAGTTTTCCATTTTAGCATCAGAATTGCTGCTGCTTGCCTCCTGGGTAAACACAACATGAAAGTATAATATTAATGCATGTAACCTGAGAAGAAAATTGTCATCTGTCTCTGGTTTAACCTTTCTATTCTGACATATTCATCTTTTTGCATCCGAAGACACATCCTTCATTCTGTTTTAGCACTCTTAAAATGAAATGATCTTGTTTGTATTTCCATTTCAGAACGTTGAAAATCAGCTAATTTAGATCCATCCAAAGTATCTTTTATTTTTAACTTTCATGAGCTTTGTATCTTTTATCTTTGACCCGATATGTGTAATAGTGAAAAGAAAGTAGAGCATGAAAGGAGGCACGCCCTTGTGGCTTCCAATACCTGCATTCTAGAGCAATGGCCGCATAGATTTAAGCTTTTATAAATGGACAAATTGTAAAGGACAGTATAAAGTGTGGGGAAGATTGCACACGAACCTGGCTGAGAGGTATGCTTTCTTGGGAAACTTGGTTATGAAGAATGGCTTCATCTAGGTTCCCATTCCCACTTCCGGCTTTGGCATCTGATCCAAGATCTCTGAGCCGTTCCAGTTCAGGCAATATGACTGAGCCAAGGTCTGGCCTGTCTCTCCTCCGCAGTTCACAACACTTTAGAGCTAATTTTGCAAATGACAGAGCATCCTCAACTGGCCAATCAGCCACTTTGGGATCAAGTGTCTCTTGAAATGATCCATGCTCAATCGCCTCTTCTACATGATATGTTAGACCCATGGCAGTCCTTGCCGTAATGATTTGTAGCAGCAGTACACCAAAGGAATAAATGTCTGATTTAGTACATAGCATCCCGGTTTGTTGATACTCTGGGTCAATGTAGCAAAATGTACCGGCTGCTGCAGTCATATGATATTGAGTAACACTATCAGCCACTGACGGTGGAACTAGCCTGGACAAGCCAACATCGCCAATCTTGCTCACATAGTTTCGGTCTAAGAGGATATTGGCTGGTTTAAGGTCGCGATGGACGATGGGCTCTGGTCTTGTTTGGTGAAGGAAGAGAAGGGCCGTGCCAATCTCTGCTGCTATTCTGAAACGGATGGTCCATGGTAGTGGAGTGCTGCCATTCCTGCAGAAAAGCCGGTCTTCTAAGCTTCCATTCTCCATATATTCGTATACAAGGCACCCATACTCGGGGCAGGCACCCAGAAGGAGAACCATGTGTGGATGTCTCATGTGGCTTAGCACCTCAACCTGCACAATGATGAACAATGGAAGAAATAGGAGGTAAAGACAGGTTACAAATTGGCTCCATATAACTATTGGAAGACATGGCTGGCAAACTGGCTCACTGCCAAATGCCATTGCTTGTCAAATGGTCAGACTCAACATTTAATATGAGTAATCTACTCAAAATAATACTTTCTGTGCTTTACCATAAAATAGACAGTTTTCATTGACTTTGGCCCCCATGTATTTTGTAATCTAGGGCTATGACTTATGCATGTAATTGTACATGTGAAAATATTTTGGTCCACAAAAAGAGAGAGAGAATGAGAGAGATATCTTGTGAAGTTTCCATTCCTGCAGATGATAAAAACATTGATGCTAATCTTTAGATGAGCCTTTCTATGTATCTGCTCTGTTTGGAAGTTGGAAGCTAAGAAAATAAAAAAATGGAGTACCTCTCTTTGGAATTGCTTTTTCCCTTGTGAAATATCTGACCTCAACACCTTTATAGCAACAGCCGTGTGATCAAGATAGGCTTTATAAACAGGCCCATATCCACCTTCACCAATTTTTTCTGAAGGTGAGAAATAACCAGTTGCAGTTTCAATTTCTTCAATACTGTATTTTCTGTATCTAATATCACAGTGTGCTAAAGCATCCATAGCTTTCTTCTTCTCTTCTGCCTCGTGCAGGAGTTTCATCTCTGCCTCCTTTCGTTTTTGGGACTCCAATTCTGCAAGACGTTGTGCCATTTGTGCTGCTTCAATAGCTGCCTTGCATTTATGCTTTTCAGTCTCCACCATAATCATTGCAAACTCTCGGGTTTGCCTGCACCCTTCTATTCTGCGTGCCTCATCCAATTTCCATTCATCAATCTCCCTTGCCTGGAAATGAAAACAAACTTGATTAATACAATAATAGGTCACATGGTTTTGTGCTTTTATGAAAATGGTACGAACAGTGATTTGAACCCAGAATTGTACCTTCCCTTTGGCTGTCAGTGCTTCTTTGCATGCTGAATTATACATTTCCATACTTTGCTTTAATTCCTGTTTTAATCTCTTTATTTCCTCCTCTAGTTCCCCCTGCAGTAGAAAGCAATTTCAGGCCTGGAAAATCAGTGCCGGTGCTCATTTCCATTTGGTTTGCTTTCAATGTTGTTTTAATCTGTCAGTTATCAGTTTACTTCTGCCATTTCTTTTAACAGAAGCCACTCACTGAAATCCATGTAATTAGTGTTTATCGTGGAGGTCATTAAGTCAACGTTTTCATGTACATCTGATATAAGTGGAATTTACTAGTCTATTTTAGGAATGCTTACGCTTCTAAAACTGCATGAGGCCCTGGTCCTGTGACAAACATAACTTTAGCGATAAGGAAAATCTTTGTTAGCTTTAATACTACAGAATTTATTTTTTGAACTTACTGTGCCTTGTGAAGAGGAGGAGGTCCAGGACGCATCTGACGTATGTGACTGGTCTAGAAGCTCAAAGGACAAATTAGATGATTGAAAACTTAGTGGCTCTGAGCGATCACTGGAGCCAGAGAGGGAATGGGATGGACTTCCTGGAATTGGAAAATGGAGATTTAAATTGTTCCCTGAGAGCTGGTTGGATGGTGTTTTGCTGCCTGGATTTCTGTTATAGAGACAGATTTGCAAAGAATCTGCGGTTTTTGGAGGTGAAATATTTTTGCTGTTGGGCTGCCGGTCCAATGGAGGTAGATGCAGAAAATCAGTTCCCGAACTACTTAATGGATGCTGAGGCGAGGGGTACTGAGGTGAACGATTCTTGCTTTGCCCCCTCCTTGAAGTCATTGGCACAAAGTCTCTACTACTCTTATCAGAGTATACTGCAGGGCTACCTCCATCGGAGTGTGATCTATCAGAGCCTGCACTTCTCCAGCTTCCCTTGCTACAAGACTCAATAGGTGCAATAAAATATTAAAACATCTTTTTTGCAAATTTTGTAACAGTGTCAACATATGAATTGTGTCTCTTTCCTCACATCCAGATGAGTGTAATATCAATCTTAGTTAGTTCGTGATTCCTGGGGCATATCAACAAAGTAATGCGAAAGCATTTGTGACTGACTAACCATGTAAGCTGTTGGGAACCTGGAGTATCTGATAAATATCCTACTTGAGGCTGCTGCCTGGAACTGGCTATGCTGCTTGCATTGGGAGATCGAGTAGCTGATTTAACAGCCTGAGCTCTTACCTTGGATACAACATAAACTGCACAAAAATCTGGGATGGACTTGATTAATTGACTTTGCATATCCTGAGCTCTGAATGCCCTGTTCAATAAACCAAACATTGAGGTGTTCACTGAGTAATGCAGGCAAAAAAGATCATCAGTAGCGCGTACCCTAAAATTCTTTTATCTCGTTTTTCTGTCACTCGACTCTTAAGAAAACCACTACTGCAGCTTGTCAAGCTCTTTACACATAAATCTAGTCAGTGAAAAAAACTCATCAAGAAGAAGCTATATATGCATGCAGAAGGAACAGGTGAGGTTCAACTGCTGCAAATCTATGCTTTTGACATTTTCTTATCAGCTTCTTATCGGCTATTTCCTTCCAAACGAGGATGATCTGAAATATCTACATTACAAGATAGAGGCACAAAATGTAGGAGAAGATAAAGTACCTGGCTAGGGCACTCCGAGATGAAGCTCCGAGCACAATCATGCTGATGGAGTTATCAATAACGTATTCAGCTATTGCTCTGGCAACGTCAATGTCATGGAGAACCACCTCGTGTACTCTAACCTGATCATTTCGAAATCATGCAATAAGCAATTTGTTGATCTGAAATTTATATATTGTTCTCGTCATTCGTTTTTACAGTCTTCCATAATAATAACAAGAACTTTTATCTTTGGGGGATTGGAATATCAAGATTGTACCCCTTTTCGAGCACAAAATCCACGATATGGAAGAAAGAACTTCGCCAGCTCATCTTTCGTAGGCGCACGTCCTTCTTTGGGAACATCTTCTTCTGCAATTATGCAACAAGTGAGTTTTAAGGCGCTCAAAAACTTCCACCCCGTGGGTGACATGAGCTGATCAACACATCTTAGAAATTTCAATTGTCGAATGAAATGTCAATTTTCTTGCATTCTCTAGGAACTATACGGATCACGTTTGCTATATTAGAATTTTAATCGTAATTCATGGAACTCTGTCATGCATGTTGGACGTCTTCAACTACTGCAAAGGCATTTACTTCAAAACAGGGAGGATTGAAAACATCTTCAACTATCATGCATATATGCCCCTTGTTATCCCATAAAGACAAGAAGGATGAAATGTAGAACGAGGAGGATTAGTGGAAAGGCCAAGGGACCTACGAGGAGAGGAATTCTGTTGAGTTTTGACATGGAGGAGGGTGATAAAACCATTCAAGTTCAGGCGGTCGACCGCCCATTTCACAGCAAACTGGCTATTCTTGTCTGCGTCAATTGCTACTGCCGCATTGAAAATCATTTCTGGTGAATACAACGCCTTTGCCATTGTTAGCCTAGGACCCAAGTAATGGGAGATCAAAAACTATATAAAACCCAAAGGGCCAATTAAATGCCTGGCCGCCTTCCACGGGTTGCTTATTATAGTAGTTAATTTTGGAAGCACCAGCTCGGTGGTGCTGCTACAACGGCACCCCCATCATGTACCCACAACCACCGCCACCACCACAAGAAGATGGGGAAAAATGAAAAATGTAGCTGTCCCCAGGAGTACCATAACCCCTAAGGTTTCTCTTTCACGCTTGCTTTGGTTATATAAACCGCAAAAATCGAGTAGCTAGCTTGTTGTCCAAAAGAAGAGAAAAGAAGAAAAATGCCTATCTGGTCATTTGAAATTCTACGTACAGTCACACCTCTCTTTCCTTTCCTGGTTTTATGTCCTGCTGCTGACCGAGTCCATTTTCAGTCCACTTCAATTCTTATCATTCTTCCAGTTTTAACAAACCATAAATAGTAGCATACTAATGTAAATCTGTTAACCGTGAATTTCAAAGCCTTAAATTAAATAAACAGTACTTTTGAGGGTTGGCGTCAGAGTTGTCGCGGGCAGTTTTTTCTACAAAGATTTTTGAGGGGTCACTGGAATCAAGCATCTGCGGTCCGTGAAAGTTGGAAAGATTTGTAGCTGTTCGTCGCCAGCTGGACAATCTGGACTGCCCTGTAGAAGAGAAATCCAACAAATATTTGTTAATTTTCTTAAGATTCCTCACTTCTTGGAGCACAACTCGGGCCAGCCTTTACCCTCAAATTTGTTCACATCACATCGTAATCCATGAACCGTGATTGGACGGTCGCAGGCGTTGGACTCTTGAACTAAAAAGATCATCTTTTATGTATAATTGAAAAAATAGACAATAAAATGGTCCCTGCAACTTTGCCGACATAAGACAAAACCATAAATTCGACTCTTTCAACGCAATTAATGTGTCACTTCCTGGTAAACCTTTTTCAACAGTAAAAGAAAATATCCCTGCAATGTTTCTTTTCTTTTTTTTTTTTTTGGGTAAAGAATCAAGAAATTAAAGTTCTATGGTACGTAAATCAGAGACTGGGGCTGCGATTATCGATTACCTACGCAAAGTTTTGGTCATTAATTTCTCTTTCAACTTCTCCAGCCAATCTATTTCGACAACCTAACCACTTTAAAACAAATAATCATCTATAAGTTCGATTCCATATCTACACAAAGTCAAGGGCATATCAACCTAACCCAACATTATTTTATTTGCCTAACCTGCTTTACTTCTTCCTTTCATTCTCTTGCTCCTTTTGCCGCTAATTTTAATAATTCCTTGCCAAATCTTTGATAACAAATTAGATTTATTCACTAAGCACATCTACATTCTTTTCTTTATCCTAACTCCAGTGCATTAATGACTTTGTATTGTACCCCTAATAACGCAGACAAAATGCGGTGTACTTACTGTTTTTCTGAATCAAGTTACAAATATAGAGTGCAAAATTGCATTGAAGGGGAGCTTATTTGAGAACATGTAATCACTAACATGATTGCGCAAGAATTGCTGGCATTACAAGGAATTCAGTCCATCCAACTGTAAGTACTACTTTTTTGACAAAAAAAAAAAAAAACTGTAAGTACTACTTAAAATGAAATCTTCCCATGTAAAGAAGGCACATGATTATGGGAGACTTTGCAGGTCAGGTGGTGAGCTGCCACGCAGGGACACGTTGCATTTTCTTGAAGTTTGTCTCATGAAAAGTCCATGAGGCAGTCTACTACTATTATTAATGTAAGCACTATCCAAAAGCATTTTCCGTCCATAGCATTGATTGGATGAGTCTACACGTGTCACCTCACAGCAGTAAAAGCTTTTTCTTTGCGCCATGCCCAGGAAAAAAAAAAGAAAAAGAAAAAGAAAAGGAAAAATAGTGTAGATGTGAAGAGTAAACAGTCTAGGAAAACTGGCATTACTACCGGCCATAGTTAGAGAGGAGTTCAGCTCTGGGGCAAGTGTTTTTAAGTGTTTATTTCGGTTCTGTAAGTATTCTTTCTTTCTTTCTTTCTTCGATTCTTGATTGATCCTGTGGTAATTCTGTTGGCAATTTCATTTTCTTTTATCCTAAAATGTATTGAAGCTGATCCTATGTTCTTGTGCTCCAAGAAGATATGTATGCACTAGAATTTCCTTTATTACACAAGATTCTTGATTTTAGGGTGGAAAATGTTGGGGAGGAAGAAAGATTGAATTTTCAGAAAAACCCATGATTTAGTTTAAGAGGCTGATAAGAATTGCCTCAAATCCCCGAAACCAAGTACCACGTGGCAAAAAGTCTAGAGCCTTTTTAGGGTTTGCTTGTGAATCCTGGGGGGTAGGTTGTCCTTTTCCCATTCCTAGGTTCTTTTCGATGACTTCTTTTCATTTCCCTTCTAGATTGGTGTTTGGATAAGGATTTAATTTTGTCTTCTTCCTTCCGGTTCAGTGTACAGAAGGGTTGGTGGTGCACATAGGATTTGGTATCTTGGTTTAATTCTTTGCTACAAGGGAAGAATTTGGCAAAACTCTAGGCACGAGAAAGGCACGACTGTTTCAGCTTAAGTTTCTGATTGATGGAATGTTAGTGCATCCAGATCTGGGAACTCTTTCTTGCTTTGCTTAAAGCAAGTACCTAAATCCACCTGTAATTTGCTCTAAGTAGTATGCCTACTGTTTCTTGTACAACTTGGATAGCTGTTGACTTAAGTCTTTTGAGTTGTGACATCTCCAATCTTGTATCTTTCTCATCCTTCACTCACACGAGCAACGACCTAATCTTGGTATGAGTGTGTGACATGGTTTATTAATTTGTATCAAGGTGTTGTCAGTTTTGGTTTTCATTATTGGACTGTGTGCTTTACAAAACTTTGGAGCTTCTCCCCTCCTTTGATCATTTTGGGAACTGGATGATTGAACTAAAGAGTTGTTGACTTTGCAAGTTTGGAGAGTTTTGTGCTCTGTATTGTTAGTTGTAATCCGGAGAATAGATGGAAGAGATGTCTCCAGCAGTTGCAGTTCCACTTAGTTTAGGTAGTCCTATGTGTGAGAATGCTGGAATCTCGAATCATATGGAAATCACACGACTCAAAATAGTGACAGACACTGCCATGTTGCTTTCAGATCCAGCGTCACTGTTGCATGCAGATTCAAGTTCTAATTGGGACGGCAGTTGCAATGGGATAGGTACAGAAGGTAGTAAGGATAAGTCGGTATCACCTATAGACAATGGGGGGGTATCTAAAATGTTGCAGAAAACTCAAAACAATGAGATTGTAGGAGATGCAATAATGCAAGAAAGCGATGAGGTATTACTGGTTACAGATGACCGGAATGGAATTAATGGCATGGAGTTGCTTCCCCTGGAGCCGACTTCAGAAATAAGCTTACCAATTGCTGTTCAGATTGAGGGCATCAACAATGGTCAAATACTTGCTAAGGTAATCAGTTTGGAAGAAAGAAGTTTTGAAAGGAAGGTGAGTGAGGACAATTTAACTACTGCGGCTCAATTGAATGAAGAAAACTCAAGTGTACCCACACTTAAGGCATCTGTAGTGGCTCTTCAGTTGCCCAACGAGAAAGATCCAGTAAAAGGCGGTATGAAGAGTGTTTTTGAATTAGAATGTGTGCCACTATGGGGTTCCGTGTCAATTTGTGGACAGAGGCCAGAAATTGAAGATGCCATTATGGTTGTGCCACATTTCATGAGAATTCCTATTAAGATGTTCATTGGTGACCGAGTCGGGGATGGTATAAGCCAAACATTGAGTCACTTGACGTCTCACTTTTTTGGAGTATATGATGGTCATGGAGGATCTCAGGTATATTCCCTTTTTCTTAAATTCGATTTTAAATGTTCATTTCCTTATCAGAGTAGAGTTTTGTCAGCATCTATATTGTTGTTGACTTTTTTAGATGGTTTGCTTGATGAATCTCCATCAAGGACAAGATAGCATTAAATGGAAAACTGGTTTACAGTTGCATCTTGTCAAATTCAACCTAGAATTTCTTTCTTTCTGTAAGTTCATTAGGTATTATCCTCGTGACAGCCGTTAATAAGCTTTATTTGTTAAACATCAAATTTCCATACTATTCATTAATGAGCTTTTGGCCCCAAGTTTTGGCTAACCTAAAAACCTTCATAAAATGCTAGATATGCCGTTGAAATTTCAATCATAGTTTATCAAAGTTAAATAAATTTGTCCATGTAGGTAGCAAATTACTGCCGTGATAGGATCCATGTGGCATTGGCCGAGGAGCTAAAAGATACAAAAGATGACTTGGTGAAGGAAAGCCTGATAGACACTCGACAAATGCAGTGGGAGAAGGTCTTTACTACGTGCTTTCTAAAGGTTGATGATGAAGTAGGGGGAAAAGTTAGCCAAAATATGTCTCCTGAAAATGTAGATTCCTCCAATTATGCATCTGAACCTGTTGCACCTGAAACTGTTGGGTCTACTGCAGTGGTGGCCATTCTATGTTCATCCCATATTATAGTTGCAAATTGTGGGGATTCCAGGGCAGTTCTTTATCGTGGCAAAGAAGCTGTAGTACTGTCAATTGACCATAAAGTACGCAAAGTTTAAAACTTTTCTTTGCCATTTTTCTTCTTTTTCTTCCTTTTTTTTTTTGGGGCCCCGTGGGTGGGAGATTGATAGTCTGCATAGGCTTGTAATCTCAGCTAATTTGATTTGTTTTCTTTTAAACTTATTTGGCAGCCAAACCGAGAAGATGAATATGCTAGAATTGAAGCATCTGGCGGCAAAGTCATACAGTGGAATGGTCACCGTGTATTCGGTGTTCTTGCAATGTCTAGATCCATCGGTAAGTGTATTAGAAATTCGATTTACTTTGCAATCGTATGTCAATACACATGCACTGGCGTACGTGTAGGCACTGTAAATCCAATGTTGCTTTCTGCTCTTTCAATGAGATTGTTCTGAACCTGGAGAAAGATTCTCTCTTTTTTTTCAAAATTAGGGGAAAACTGAGTTGATTCTGAATCTGTTGCATGGTGCTGGATTTTGTGAATGACTGAAGAAAGGAATCAGTGTTTGCCTCAAATGTTTTTGGCCCCATCTTGTCTGCAGGTGATAGATACCTCAAACCATGGATTATACCAACCCCAGAGGTCATGTTTCTACCCCGTGCAAGGGAGGATGAATGTCTTGTTTTAGCAAGTGATGGCTTGTGGGATGTCATGACGAATGAAGAAGCATGTGAAGTTGCTAGGAGACGAATTTTGCTTTGGCACAAGAAGAACGGAACTAACCCTCTTCCAGAAAGGGGACAGGGATATGATCCTGCAGCACAAGCGGCAGCGGAGTACCTTTCCATGCTTGCTCTTCAAAAGGGGAGCAAGGATGATATTTCAGTGATTGTCATAGACTTGAAAGCTCGACGGAAGGGTAGGTAGTATGTATCATAGTAACGTCAAGAAATGACTTTAAATCTCATCTCCAAATGTTTTGTTATGCACCAGCTTCAATAAGTCAGCGTAGCTGTGCAAGTGCACCTTGAGAAAGTACGATCTCCCCAATGTGCTTGAATTTGAATACAACCGCACAACTCAACTTTTTAACTTATTTGCTCGAGTCATGTCATGAGATGAGAGTTAGCGTTTTAATTTACCAGTAAGAGATTTTGTCCGGTGCTCATCTTCCAGGAATTTATAATGAAGCTTTTCTTTGTATTCTAATTGTATGAATTCAGATCCAGCAAAAACAGATCAAATATAAAACATGCACATGGAAAAAGGCATTAAAACTTCTGATAAGCAAATCCTCTGTTTTTCTTTTTTTCTTTTCTCCGATCCCCAGCAAACTTGTAATGGGCCAACCAAAAAAACGAAAAGAAAGGAATGAGACGGTACAAACGCATTCTCAAGTAGTCTCAAGCCTGTAAAAAGCTATGAGAAGAAAAGACTCAACGGCCCCATCTACCTTCGCCGCTTCCTTCTCACTGTTGGGAATTGCAGCGGCAGAGATAGTGTCGCCAGTAACAATTGCTTCTCGCGCGCAAGCTTACAGCCCAAATATTCATAGTGAGGTCTTAATGCTATTGGGTTCATTCTCAGATCCTTCGCTATGTCAGATAAGTCTGTCCGAAAATTGTCAACATATAAAGTAAGCACCAAGACGTAGCTGATAAGGAGATCCTTTTTGTCATCTGCAATCCTCTTCGAGTCCGAATTAGCATACAAGGAAGAGAACTTCTGGTACAAGATCCCAGGAATTTTATGATGTTTTGCCGATGAAACACCATCCATGGAGTGCTTATCCTTGAACTTGACAAGATGGGTAATGTATGAAAATATCCCAGCAAGCTGCCTCTTCTCCACTTCATCCTAGAACATAAAAGAAAGTATTACATAACAAAATTAATAGCGGGATTTGTTTTGACTTGCATGTAAAACCTTGCCAAAAAAAATGATAATAAAGTATCATGCTACAAGTCTCATGGACTGGCATAGATAAAAAAGATTGGTAACATAAACTAAATCACCAGGTTGTTTGACCTTCCTTTTTAACAACCAGAAGAGGCTGTGATGCACAAAGGCATGCAGTATGCCCAACTTTTTAACCTGATAATCCAGGAAATTATTTCAACAGTAAAGGGATAGAACTCTCACGAATGGGAGTTGACCATATTTCTCAACGGACACCAGTCAAAAGCACAAATTTACGTCATTCATACGCTATGGAAGTTATAGGGTGCCATACTGAAATAGATGAAAATGACGCGCAGGTTGGTGAAAATGCTAACCAAATAACTGATAGGCATCCACGTAAAGATGCACAAAGTCTATTGCAAAGCTTACCGTAATATCATCCAATTTATATACTCGATTGCAAACAAAGCTCGGGTACTTATCAGACGTCACTTCTGCTCCAGCTTGAGAAATTTCAAGAATGTCCATAAGGTAATCCCACTCCCCGCTAAAGATAATCTTGTGCAATGGATATGCTGTTTGAGGTGTAGTGGCAGACAAATCATGGGGTGGGATATTTCGAGCACTAGTTGTAGTCTCTGTAACCTCGAGCCCCTCTTTGTTTATCTCAATACCCCCTAATTTTTGGTCCAAATCCTGCTGACTTTCAGGATCTTGTCTCTGACGAAGTGATTCCAGTTTCTGAGTCTGCAAAACAGATATCGGATGAATACAATCTCTCTACCAAACTTTAGACCAGAATTGTCAAAACTAAAGTATGTTTCTCTCTCTATTTTTTTTCCAGTACTGTTTTAATCAGCCCAATTTTTTGTATTTTTTCACTTTTTAGTTATTAAGTGCCCAACGTAGAGAGTATGGAAATCACATTAGCTTTATTTCCATTGGGTGGCAGAGTGTAACATAGAATTCCATTTCTGACATTGAATGACCCTATCAACAGTACAAAGGTTTAAAAAAAATATACAAAATCAGTATGGGACTAACATGGTTATGCAGCATCAAGGGTTCCTGGAATATATCAGAGAGCTATATAATGACTAAAGAAATAAATTTGATTTAGTATTTAGTGTTCAATACATGCAAGAATAGACCTTCTGAAAGAGCTAGAATTTGGAGAAGTCACATCCCTTCTATGCAGGAAAAAGGGTATACCTGTCTTATAGTCTTCTTGGATGAATACATAAGAGTCAATTCTCTCATTTTGTCAGCCTTCTCTTCTGCAGTAAGTTCATGCTTCAAAGTTTCTGGAGTTTCATTTTCAGGTAGGTCTAACCCAGCAACTCTCAGTTCCAATCTGAATATCTGGGGCGTCCAAGTAAAATAAAATAAATAATGTTGACAAGTTTGCAATCCAACATAACTGGAATCGAAACCAAAAAAGAGATCTGCCAGTAGTGGCAAGAGACACAAGCCAACCTCATGCTCCGGCCAAAATCAGAGCATAGTGAGAGCAAGTAATAAACCTGGGTGGAAAGTTGCAAGATGACAAATTTTCCCACAACTCAGCTAGAAGTTCTTTGAGTTTGATCAAATGTGAATTAAAAATAAAAATAAAAAAATTGGTTTCCTTTTCCTCAAGATGCTACATCTGTAATTGAACTCCTATCTAACCATTCGTTCAACAACCTTGTAGCCCAGATATTAGGAAAAAGGTAACCAACTATACATGAAACAGGTGGAGGGTAGGGTTGGATTGGGTGGTAAGGTGGGAGGGATTGTAAGTAGGAGGTCATGGTTTCAAGCCCTCCCGCTTACCCCCAAAAAAAAATTTGAAAAAAATAATAAAAAATCCTACACATGAAACATAAAGCTATAACCTTCTCATTCAGAGTGCAACTTCAGTAATTCTCATAACAGTTTCTGAGAAACAAAATCACAGTACAACCTCCAAATGTAATCTTAACCACAAACTACAAAAATCACAAGGCATTTTAGCAGCCAAAAACAAGCACAATTCCACAGATAAACCAAGCATACCAATAAATAAATCTCAAAGCTAATAGCTTTTTCCCCTTTGCCACCATATTTCAGCAATTAAATGGCAAATGCACCACAAAAGTAAAAAAAAATAAAAAATATTCAAACTTTGCGGCATTCGCTTATATCCCTGCTAGTTTTGACTTTGGTTTAAAAAATAAAATAAAATAACCTTGTTAGCTGCAATTGGAACAATCTTCAGAGTCTGGCTAATCTTGTCAAAAACTCCGAGACCATAAGTACACATCTGAGCCGCCGTAGCCTCGCCAGAGTAGTTAGTTCCAACGAAATTAACCTGAGCAACCTTAGGGCTCACCACCAACTGCAGCCTATTACTCCTCTTCTTATTCTTGTAAACCTTAACCTTGGCTTCAGGCCCCGCTTCTTCGCCTTCCTTCCAACTCCTCAATGGATCGTACCCGGATGGAAAATAACCCACAATTGGAGAAATTTTATCAGGGTTTTCACCGAAAGTTTCGATTTTGACGTCTAGTGTTTCCTTGTGCTTCTTTTTCTCATTCTTCTCAGGTTTTTCTGCTGTTGTTGATGTTATGGGGTCGGCCTCTTCTGCATCCCTTTGTTCTTCCTCTCCTCCTTCTTTTTCCCTAGAGTACTCCTGAGCAGGTTCCGTTACTTGCTGAATTTCTTGGTTTATTGGTCTCTTCTTCTTCTGCTTTGGTGTGGCCATGGTTTTGGGACAAGAAGTCGAAGTAACAGCGTTGGCTGTGAACTGCCAGGTATGAGCCCTACCCTATCGTGTCACCACAGCCGGGTGAACTACCCGAAATATGAACCATTTGGCTATACATAGGGTTTACTTTTTTTGTTATTCTTAGGGATAATTTCGGAAACCTCCCCGAGGTTTTCTATAATATCACTCAACTCCCATGAGATTTTTAAAATTTCACTTACCTCCCATAAATTGACATTTCTTGTAGCATTTTAACCCCTTTGGAGAAAATACAGAAAAAATAAAACTTTTGTTCCAATACTACCCTTATGCTATCCCACTTATGGAATTTATAACACCAATAAAAAATAAGATAAGGTTAAATTTTTATAAGGTATTTCTTGGCGTAAACTATTTATTTTAGTTAGCTCAAAAAAACTATTTATTTTAGTTGTATTAGAACAAAAGCAAAATTGACACATATAAAAATATTATTTTAGTTTTCAATACAACTTAAACTACACCATGAATTAAAACATATTTTTCTAAAAAATATCAAAATATCTTGACTTCCTTAATTTTAGTTATACACGGAATTTTTTTAAGGTGTTAATTACTCTCTAAAATCTTCATAAATGGTTGATCTTGATTAGATTTAATTTATCCATATTCTTTGCTATCCCACCATGATTCTAATGTACAAAAAAAAAAGGACCATTATTAGCTAGCAATTTGTTTTTTTTTTATTTACATTTTTTACTTTTTAAAAAAAAAATTTTGCCTTTTTTATTAAATAGTTATTAAGAGTAAGGATAATGTTATCAATTTATAACCTTTGATAGGGATATTTAGTCTTATCAAGTTGACAAGGGAGGTAAGTGAAATTTTAAAAATTTAAGGAAAGCTGAGTAATATTATAATAAATCTCAGGGGAAGTTTCTAAAATTATCCCTTAATCTTATGTAGTTGTCAAGGCATGTGAAATTTATATTATGCGTCATAATTTAAACCTGTTCACATAAGAAATTATACATATAAAAAATATACACATATGCATATGTATGTGTAAGTGTGTGTGTGTGTATATATCAACGATGCAATAGCTATACATTTTTTTTTGCAATAAGCAAGCATTGTTTAACGGGTAGTCATTGGATACTCGTTAAAATAAATTTCAGATGTCATGTTTTTTGAAATTGTAAGATTAATTTAAAAAAAAGTAAATAAATATAAAAGATGATAGATAAGATTAAATAAGGAAAGTATATAAATGTGATTGAGGATAATAATAATTATTAGTATGTATATATATATGGTAGATTAGGTTAGATGAATTGTCAACGTGTTAATGAGTATCCAATAAGCATGGATTAGAAAAACCTAATAAACAATCAATATGAATAGGCATTTTTAGAAATTTTTTCAAAAATTTTATTGTAACAATGTATGTGAAATTTTATCATATTTTAAGTGTTTTTATCGTGTTTTTAAAATGTATTTTGAGTATTTTTAATATTTTTAAAAATTACAAATAGCAATACTCACCGTCCATCACTAATCACTGACACCACTCCTTCCTCCTCCTCTCTATTCCTCCTTTCTCCTCTCTCTTCATCCCTTTCACTCATTGTATTCATTCCATACTTTGGAAAAAGATTTATTAATGTATTTTTCGCGCATTAAAGCATAATTTTTGCCAAGAAGAATTTTTAATGCCTAAATAACCAATGTGAAATATCTTGCAACATAACCATTTTAAGTCCATATTCTCACATAATACAGATACTATAATTGTTTTTTTTATTCATATAGAGTGATTTTACTCAGTGAACTTGAATTGTTATGTTGTAAATTTAATAAAGCTCTTAGAAACAAATCATTATGAGTAGTAATAATAATACTAATTTTATAAAATAAATATGAGTGATTAAAGAGTACGAATACTTTTATATCCCATTCATGAATTATTCATATGTGCCCAAGTTTAACAACTAATTAAAAAAAAAATCAAATCTCGTGCTTTAAGATAGAGAAAAGCATTCATTTATTGGAGAAAAAACGCATTCAACTGCACGCACGCCTGACCCCGTCAGTCGATTTATACGCAGCCCATTTAACGTTTCCGTTTATCCGCCGTCCATGACGTCCTGTCCCGTCCCGTCATTAACAAATAGTAGTGGATTTAATACAGCATTTTGATTTGGACCTTTACCTACAAAACTAACAAGCAAAAAAATTGAGTTGTCCAGCACCCTCCGTTTAGTGTGGAGGGTGGAGTGAGGGAGAAGAAGAAGAGACTGGCTGGTAAACAAGTAGTCAAATTAGTAAAATCATCCCATTCAAAGGAGAAGAAGCAGGAGGAGGTGGAAAATTACCCCCATCCACTCTTGTTGTGCTTGAGCTTTAATCCATTCTTTAATTCTTTACGCTGAAGCATATTCCTGTTTTCTTCTTTTCTTCTTTTTTTTCGCCCCTTTTGTTCGTCAGTTTCCTGCGACTGCCCACAACCGATCTTCCATCTCTCCAACATTTTTCTTTCAGGTATTACTGTCGCCAAGCCCATTCCGTATCATTTACTTATTCTTTTTATTTTCTTTTTTGTCTTTTCTATGTTTCTTAGCTTTATTTTATCTGCTGATAATTCTAATATTCAGCTCGTTGTCGTTAACAGTCAAAATTGGCAAATTTTGGTGGGTTTTGGATATCAAGTACAGTTTCTCTCGGGGAAAAAAATGGAGCTTTCTTATTGTTTTGTAACTGTGGTTTTGGGTTCAGAAAATTATAGCTGAAGATTACATTATTTTCCTCATAACAATTGATTAAGAATCTGCGTAGGATTGATTTTTTTTTGGGGGGGGGGGGGGTTGGGGTGTGACGATCTGCTTAATTTTGGGACTGTAGTTGACTTTATTGGTGTCAGGTAACGGAAATTGGAAATCTATTTTTTATTAATGTTAAAAGTTGAAGACTGTCTGCTTACAATTGCCTTTATTTTCACGGATTTTTGTAGCTACTTACTGAGGCTTCTGCAGTGATCTAAGTGTAGCCCTGGTACTTTTGGTGCTCGATCTTTAATTGAAAGTGGAGTACGTTTCTAACATTTTGGATCGAGCTATTTAGTTATTTGAAACTGGACTACAGCTTACATTTCATGTCAGAACGCAACCAGCTAAACATTTCTTGGGCTTTCAATTGGTTAATTGTAACTTAATTACTGCAATTAAAGATTATTTACCTTGTACGTTTTAACAAGCAGAACGTTTCGATTGGCTCTTTAATTTGGTGCATGGTATATGTTGCAGGAGTTACAGAGAAGACGGAGCAGTTTGAATATTGGATCAGAGAGTTGATTTCTTTTAACATATGGATCAAAGTATTTCATTTTGTGTTATCCCTTCATTTTTCATTCTTTTCATTTTGTTAATGGCCATGGCTTTAATTTGCTGTCAGTGAAAATTTTTCAGCAAATTCAAAACCGTAGCTTTGTGTCACGATATTTCCTCTTGTGTCATTGCAGTAGTCCCTAAAATGTCCATCGTTCCTATTTTCTGATGCAAAACTGCATATATGCTGCAATATGTATATTCATGTTGTTGAATTGGGTGCTGGGTGTTTTATCTGTGCTGGAAGTGGTGGGGCAGTGTGTTTGCTAATCAGTATGAATTTTCTTGATTTATTCTGGCTAAGTGATTCATCATATATTTGGTCATTTGTTTTGTTGGTCTGTGGTCTTGCTTGTCTTGAATGTGAATGTTCCAATGTTCCACATGTATATTATTAAATTTGGCTAAAAATTGCTTTTATCTCAGGATGAGATTTCTTTTCAGTGATACCTTTCTTTATATGGTTTTTGTATTGCTTTTACCTTTCGCTTTGATTGGTTAATATTGGAAAGGATTCAGTTTTGTCATTGTTGAATTTAGCAAGATAATATAGTTAGTGCTAGGATATCCTTCCCGGATTTTGTTAAACCACATCTCAAAATTTTTCCAATTTCTCTTTGGTGCTGTTGGCTTCGAATAAGGGCTGATTTAAGATTTGCCAGCATTTTTGAACTGCATAAAAAATTGAAATTTCTCTTCTGGCTGCCTTTTCTTTTTTCCCTTTTCTGGGGAAAGTTCTTCTGTTCACTTAGCTGTTGTCTGCTTGTCTCAGCATTGCCCTCTGTATCTTCAGCTAGAAGCTTACTTTCCAGTAGTTTAAATCGGTTCTAATGTACTTCTGAGCCTGGGATTCTGTCATATCTGGCAAACAGGGTTAGAATTCATAAGGAGTGTTAACTGTAAAAGTTGTTTCCACAGCAAGACAGATAAATCTCATAGAAGAGAACTTTGCTACTAATTGTTGAATAAGTGCTGTTTATAAATTTAAAATGACTGAACTGCATTCCCTTATTATCCTCTTGAGGACATCTATATGTTATTCATATATCAGCTTGAACATGGTATGTTTGATCCATACATTGCTGCATTGATGGCTGAAACATTTGGATGGATACAGAACTTTTAGAAGATGCCAAGCAGCATCAGAATGGAGACTATGCCCTTACTGGCGACATAGAACATGCCCAGCTGGGAATGTTTGATAAACCCCTTCCTTGTTTTGGTTGTGGAGTAGGATGGTTTTCGTATGTCCTTACTTTTTTATACATTTTTCCTTAATGGTGTTTTTCTCCGGGTTTACATCTTATGGATTCAAATTCTTCTTGCAGTCTTCTGCTTGGGTTTTTCTGCCCCTTGTTCTGGTACTATGCTACTATTCTTTACTTTGGGAATTACTACCACAAGGATCCCAGAGAACGAGCTGGGCTCGCTGCTAATGCAATAGCTGTAAGTGTTATCTCGCAGTCATGCAGTTCTCTATATGTTGTCATATTCACTCTTTCTGTGGTATGGGGATTGATTCCATTCTTGCAGGGATATAAACCAAAAAAACGATTATTGAGTCATTAGTGATTTACTGTGTCCCTTTGAGGTGACATGACCTTTACCCCTGCGTTATATTCTAGGATTCTCGCTATTTCAAATATTGAAAAGCAAGTATGTCTTCTTTAGAGCCTGCACCATGGTATGACATGTAGGCATGGATTGCATTTGCCTAATGCTTGAAGATGCTCTGCACTTTCATCATTCTCTTATTGCTTGCTAATATCATGTATACAACGATTGCAGGCTCTGATATTTACTGTTGTTGTCCTGATTGTTGTGGCTATTATTCTCTTCTAGTCCCTAGGCTCTCAGGCTTTATCAGTTTCAGCAGACAATGGCATGAGATGGATACCTGTGATTAAACAGCATCCTACTATGGGGGCTTTTCCAAGTTTTGCTTGATCCTGGTCATCCTCTCAGTTTGTCATGTAGTATACAACTCATGTATCATAGGGCCCCTGAAGTTCAGTACAATTGGGTCCAACGCCTCCCTAAAAAAGAAAAAAAAAGGAAAAAAAAAGGGTTTTCAAGTAGGTTTCTACACTTTAGAGGGTGGAAAAAGCAATAGTTTGATGTCATAACAAATTAGATTACTTTCAGCTAAAGTCATTGGAAGCTAGCAATATTTGGCGTATTCTTCGAGTTCAATTGCACCTGATGCAGCCTTAACAACATGTACAGTTTTTTAGTATGATTATGTATGAATGAAGAAGCTTGCTGGGAAATGTATGATTATCTTAGCCATATGCTATGTAGCCCATTAGAGGTTCTTTGCTTTGTATAGAATTAACACTAACTATTTGTATTTGGACACCCATGGTAGCTTGCAATTTCCCGGTGTGCTTGTCATGACTTTTGATAGACGCCTCAGTTTTGGCAGCAACCACAAATTTCCCGGTGTACAGATGTATGCGCACGCAAACAGCCCACGAGACGAGACCAAAAAAAAAAAAAAAGGGGTAATTTCTGTTTAGGGAGTTGAAGACAGAACAATCATGCGAAAGACTGGAGCGATTCTGCTCTGTCGTTCTCTGCAAAGTGATTGAAAAGGACTTGTTACCAATTAAGTACGCGTTTTTCCGTTTCATTGTCCCGAATTTTAACCACTCCTCCTTTGTAAGATCTGCTTGCTCTAGACTGAACGCGGAAGGATGACCAAGACTCTCGTCTCCTCTCCCCTCATGGTTTTCCGCATTCAGCCAAATCGTTCATGGTTTTGAAAGAATACTAAAGAATTGAGAATTCCAAAACGATACCAAGTGAAGTGAATGAGCTGCTCTGCTCTGCTCTGCCTGGCTGCGCATCCTAGTCGGCTGCTAATTTTGGCCGTTATAAAAATTAAAGCACGTTATTGTTTACTTCATTTGTGGATCGCTTGGTTCATCGGCAATCTCGGGGAGGAATCTTCAATTGATTTTAAAGCTAAAAGTTCCCTGGATTTGTTACGAGCAGATAGATGTTAGCTGCGTGAGACCAAAGTTCAAGTTACATTACATGGACAAAATACGCGTCATTGATTAGGCTGTCATTCTTCTTGCCAGAAAAGCCAAATGCGTGAAAGCCGTCATGCGAGTCGCCTACTCTTAGCACTCTTCAAGTAGTTTGATCCACACGCTACTGACCACCATTCCATTCCATTCAAGTAGAATACTACTCTTAGTTCATTATCAAAAAAGTAAAAAAAAAAAAAAATTAGAATACTCTTAGCTCAACACAACTCAAGAATAAAAATATACCTACCACTGATCCATTTTCCTTCCATCCTAAAATCCATAGCCCTCCCCAGCACCAAATAAAGCAACTCATTTTTTTAGCACCAACTGCTCGAAGGGCAACGAAAGCAACAAAAGAGAACGAGGAGCCGAACATTACATTTCTTAGCGCTGCTACAAGTACAAGCAAAGAAGGCAAAGGAAAAGCAAAAGCAATAAAGAGGGAACAAAGGTTGTTTCACAGAGCGCTCCTCTTCATCTTTTATCAAAAGCAACACAAGCAACTAAAAACCATGGAAGATGGGGAAGACTTGACCCCCTTTTGGGTACCAAGCACCAGCAATCGCGGCCGTGTCCGCCGATTTCGCCACGGCCTATCCTCTTTCTTCTTAAGCTCTGGACTTTTAGTCTCCGTTCTGCTGATAACAGCTGTTTCCTTCTTGGTTTTGGTAGTCCCTGCAACCATTTCTTTCTCTTCTCAAATCTTTAGGCCAAATAATGTTAAGAAAAGCTGGGATTCTCTTAATTTGGTATTAGTTCTAGTTGCATTAGTCTTTGGATTCCTCAGTAGAAACAAGAATGAAGATAGAAACTTTGAGGAGTATCATGATACTACTCCTACTACTACCAGAACTGAAACCCGAAAATCAAATCCATCAACCGCACAGGGATGGTATAATTACTCCCCTATTGAAGCTGAAAAAACGCATCAGTCAAATCCTCTTCAATGGCATGGATATTCAGATCAGACGGCCTACAACAGTACTTCTAGTACTGATAACCAAGGTGGACTGCTGAGGAGGACATATAGCTCATATCCTGATCTACTTGTAGCCTCCTCAAGATTGGCCTCCGGGGATGATCCGTGGATGTGTTATGATGATATGATAATCGAAACTCCCCGGTACTCCCGCACCGGCGAGCTTCATCGTCGACGAAGCTGGAAATACACATTTGATGATTCCCAGCTGGAAAGCAAGAACTTTTATGTGGATAAATTTGCGTACCCTCATCCTCAGGAACGACCCTCAAACACTCCAGCTACTCCCCCTCCATCTTCTCCTCCGCCAGCTCCACCATCTCCACCGCCAGAATCACCACTACTGCGGCCTGCTTCACCACCACTGGATAATGAAAAGCCAAAGCGAGTCCATCAAAGTGTTGCTCATCGAAGGGAGAGAAGGAGAAAAAGAAGGGATAGTCAGATGGAAAACAACGAACCCATCTCAGAACCAGCCACACCGCCTCCTGTGACGACCCCACCTCTCCCTAAGGCGTACCAAAGGGTTCGGCGGACCGCCTGCCCAGCTCTCGCCAGGACTCACTCACTATCTCAATCGAATCATATATACACAACCATGCACCATAAATAATATTCACGATTCAAACTTATAGTTTACATCGATAGGAATCAGGTACAAAGTCTTAATACACCAACTAGTACCAAAACGTATACAATCCAAGTACAACATGTTTCGTTCGGGGAATAGCGCGAGTACAAAACCAAAATTCAAAAGTCAAAACAAAAGGCTACACTAGTCTTTATCAAGTCTCTCGCGTTACTCGTACCCCTGTAAGGAAAACAAACTAACGGGGTGAGCCAAAGCTCAGTGAAGTTCCCAAATATCAAATTGGGCAACAACCAAGTTATAGCAAAATAAAAGTGAAATGACGAGCAAACAAGTCAAATCAAGGAAATAGTACTTCAGCTAGTCAAGTAGTATTAGATGCACATTCACATATAAGGATACGGTATTCATGTTACGGCTCCATTCCAGCTTGGTCAAGTGGTAGTTGACACTCCGTCAACTTTCAAGTAATTTCAAGTCCAAATAAACTCCACTACACGCCAATTTCCGTCCACCGATTCACCCCCTATTCCGGGCCCGCACGCCATATAAACATGGGTGGTAATACTCGAGTATACCGTTAGTCGAGAAGATAACACTCCACTCGACATTACAAGTGACCCAGGGTTTGTTATCTAATCGACCAGGCCCTTGCCGGCTCGACTCGATTAACTAGCCACAGGGTTTCTGGAATTCCAGGCAAGATACAATTCAAGTACATGTACAACAAGTCAAGTATGATCAATAGCAAGAACATGTCATATTAGGGCAAGTGCGATAAAGTACACCCTTGCCTTTTCATTCATTGTCATGTAATCACACAAGTCAAGTAGGGAGTACACATATCAAGTACAATCGGATATTTGGAAGCACTCACCACAATAGTGCTTCTAGTTTTCGCGTCGAGGTGGTACTCCGGGTTGGGAGTCCAAATCTGCGATAAAACTTTACTTGAGAACTTTGAAATCAACCAAGGTTCAAAACTTAAGCGTTTCGTTCGATAAGAATCAAGAAATTGAAATTCACTTGAGAAGAGTCGTGAAATAGTTGCTCGCTCTTTAAACTGGAAAATTTGATAACATTTTTGCTTGAATATGACTCTTGAGTCAAAAGTGCAAGTAAAACGGTTTCGTAGTGATTCATATCATTTTCCTAAGGGTACAAGTTCGGCCAAGTCCTAAACAAGTGGCAAAGGTCCTCGATAGTTCAAGTGATAATCACTTAACCTTCACTCAAGTCGCAAAGATAGTTTTCTAGACCTCGAGTAAAAATTTGGGCAGCATGCCCTTTGTGTTTACCTAATTTCCAGCCATTTAGGCTTCATTATTTTTCTTCAACAACATCCCAACATCATACAAACAAGCAATTTATGTCAAGAGCCGTTCCATAGGCTCACAATATCATAACAACAAGAATCGCATCAAGTACAAGTGCAGAAACGCAATTTAGTTCAAGACAGATTTGACGTACAAATGCGGTAATACCATACCCGAGGCTACGCTTATCAGATTAAAACGAAACCTACGCCGTTTCGAAGCTAAGACACAGAGCTACAACATTCATGAAGGTCACGTAGTCCAGTTCCTAATGTAACTTAGTCAAAATCTCAGATTACTAAACCAGAAACCAGTTCGTCGGTTGTTTAAACGCAGAACACTGTAATGAACCTAACTCAGTGTACACAAGTCCGAATCAGGTTTTCTTTGAGGCGTTTTAAAGCTACTTCAGAGCACTACAACTTTTATGTTTTGGCCCAGAGCTAAATCAGAAGGGATCCTAGTCAAAAATCGTGATAAACTGGACTGAACTGAAGAAACGGACTGCTGGGGAATTCTTAAAACAGTAGGGGTATTTTGGACTTTTCACGTTCTGCGTTGCTCCGATTGAGCTGAAATTTTATAGGCACCTATAAAACACCATTCTCTACAACTTTCCTTCTTTGACCAAAGGCCAATTCGGCCTCTAACATATAGGTACAATTTCGGACAGAATGCTTGGGCAATTTTCCAGAAATCTGGAATTTTTAGCTCTAAGTGTAAATTCCTCAAATTTCTGGTTCTATTCACCACTAAACAACCTTATATAACCTTAATTACAACATTCATGCATCATACATCACATTGAGCAGAAAATCAGAAACCCTAGTTCATCAAATAAATTGGGGAAAACCTCTAAATCATGCTAATCATCCATAATCTCACCACTATAATCACCTACTAAACTTAATTTAACAAGATTAGATGTAAAACTTGGAGAGATAAACTCTCTTACCTTGAATAAAAGTCACCAAGAGTAGCACAAGCTCTCCCCTTCAAGAATCACACCACCACTCACTAGCTAGTCACTAGAAAGCAAGTTTAATCGGTTTACTTCGCTCGATTCCTCACTTATTTGTTGGATTTGGAGATGAAATGAAAGATTTCCCTTGGAGTTTTTCCTCCTTGATGCTCTCGGCCAGCTCCAGCAGAAATGAGGAAGAATTGGCTAAGTGTTAAGGTTATATGGTTGGTAATGGTCTTGGGTAAGAAGCCATGAGGTGGTGACACTTGTCACCACCACCACCCTTTCTTTTTCTCTTTCTTTCTTGCCTTTCTTAGCCACCAATTTTCGGTCAACATGCTGCCAAGAGAGAAGATATTATGTGCAAAAGTCAACAAACTTGTTGGGTAAGAAAAATGGTGGTCAAGTGGTGCGTTCAATCGGTAATGCGCGGGACCCGCCGGTTCGCGCCGTTTCTTAAAAACTCACGTACTAGGGTTTTTACTTCCCATTCACTAACCTTATATCATTGCTACTACTCACATATTATTTCTCACTTAAGAGTCACTTTTAATCATCAAATTGATCCTTGGCCAGTACCGAAAATTCATCCGGCGGAAAAAATCGCAAAAACCCTAATTTTGCTCAAAACTTGAAACCAAAGCGTAAAACCTTATTTTCTAGGTTTATTTACACTTAGTGTGATATAATGAGGTAGGGGGCCTTAATAAATAATAATTTTCAAATAAAAGGCATTTTTGAGGAAAAATGTAGGAAATTTGCGGGTCCTCACACCTCCTCCTCCTCCACCGCCGCCGCCGCTGCCGCAATTTGTGGATCAAAAGAGTGGCAAAAGTGAGAAGAAAAGAACTGGGGGAAATGCAACCAAGGATTTCTTGAATTCTCTTTACCATAAGAAGAAGAAGAAAAGGCAGAGGCAAAAAAGTGTTGAAAACTTTGATGCTTTGCTTAACGAGCCTCAAATGCCACCTCTCCATCTTCAACTACCACCACAATCTCCTCCTCCTCCTCCTCCGCCGCCGCCGCCACCCTCCGTCTTGCAGAATTTGTTCGCATCGAAGAAATCCAAAGGAAAGACAACACATACAGTCATTTCAGTTCCCATTCCGCAGCTTCCTTCCAGACACCAGCCCACGCAAAAAGCTCTGCAACCAGTGAAAGTGAGAAGCTTTGACAGTGAGGAAGGTAATTCAAATAGTGGCGGAGAATCTCCACTAGTTCCCATACCTCCCCCGCCGCCTCCTCCGCCGTTCTTCAAATCTCCGGCGTGGAAGTTTGTACTTCAAGGTGACTATGTGCGGGTAAATAGCAACCTGAGCTCACGGAGTGGGTCTCCGGATCTTGATGACGTGGAATCGGATGGCACGCCCACAGCTGCTGCTGACGGAGGTGATATGACGCCCTTCGCGGCGTCACCATTGTTCTGTCCGAGCCCGGACGTGGATTCAAAAGCTGAGAGCTTCATCAGCAGATTTCGGGCCGGGTTGAAGCTTGAGAAGATAGATTCCATGAACAAAAGACACGGAGTGGGCTTTTCTAACCTCGGCCCAGGTTCAGGCCCAACTGATATTTGAAAGTTTTCAAGTTTTCATGGAAAAAAAATATATTAAATTCTGATTTATTGATTGATTGATTTATTTTTGCCTGGGGGCGTAAAGAGTGGTAGCGCACACCAGCAGTTTGTTCAGCAAGCCAACTAACTGGTGTTTTGATAGCGTGTATTTGTATGTTAACAAGAGTCTGCTGTCAAGAATGAGATTGCTATCTCTGAACAAATGTATCAGTGTGGCGAAGGACGAGGAAGTTAAAAAGTTCAGATTATTTAGTTCAAACAAAGATGAAAAACACAAGTTATATCTCATTCTCGAGTTAATACCATGTAGTTAGCAAAGTGTATTTGGCCATTTGCGGCCGCATCCTTTGATATTTTAGTCACCCAGTGCAATTTCACCGGGGCAAGCTGCTTTCTGCCGAAAATTTTTGAGGGAGAACAAAAAGATGAGTTGGGAATTGGTCAACATGTGACAAAATGGTAGTAGTTGGTATTAATTGAGACTTGGAAGACTTCCATGATGTTGAAGCTTTACAAACAATAATATGACAATATGCCAACTGTGAGCGTTAACTTCAATTTAGGATGCATGAGCTGGTTACAAGCTCAGCTCCAACCAGCCAGTCCAATTTGATCCATAAACATAAACGCCGATCATGCTAATAAATTCTTAAAGCCACCAATTCAAGATTTACTTGGTACGTTACCAAAACCTGTTTCACACCTAAACCGTGAATAAACTACTACCAAAATTTATGGCATACAAAATTCCCACATAAAATCCTTAGTGCCACTTATATTTATATTAAGTGTCCTGTTTATTTAACTTGTTATATGCTGTTTATTTAAATTTTTTCTACCCTCACTGGCCTCACATGATAGGTGGGATTAACACTGTATTTGACATGGAATAGTAGCACTTAGGATCCCAACTGCAAAATTCCTAACATCATCATTTCTCATTCCCGTGGGCTGCAACTCATTTGGTGAACCTATCAAAACTTTACAAGCGAACTATTTGTTAGTCTATGGAAGGATGGATGCTAGTTGTGCGTCCAGCATAATTCTTGATGATAAGGTTGATTTCCAGTCATGAGGCAGATCAATCGATTCAAGTGCTTACAGCCACCTGGATTTCATTGTCAAGGAGCTTCTCAACAAATTGATTGATGACATTGCCTCTAGCCTGTCTCAGGTGCAACAATGAGAGGTGTGAAAGGCCATTCTGGCTCACAACTATGCCGTGAAACGAGAGATACGTGCAAGTAAATAGAAGTCATATGAAATGCACCTTAATTCCAATAGCAATTGCAGTTTTCAGCTTGAGCAGTTCACCTAATCTTAAAGATCCCCCTTTCTTATCCCTGACAAACAGGATTGGTACCCCTCTAGAATGGGCCAAGTTCGGCAAATGCTTTGACAGCCACCGTGGGTTGCAATCTGATGCTAAAAGAATGGCCTGATGAGAGGAACAAGCATCAAAGTTATTCATTCCTTGACAAAATTTCAAGCTTATAAACCAAATGCTATCTCGAGAACTTGTCTGATATGCAAAATCCAGGATAAAAAAATTTTGGTGCTGAGAGAAATCAACAAAATGTGAGTCTAAACGGTATTACCACACTAACAATGTCAGCTTAATAGTCTTCTACATCCATCAACATGTTATGATTTCATGATTTTATTTCCATATGTTTTTGAGGCAAATATACAGTGTTTTAACGACTTCTAGTCAGCCACAGATTGGATTCAGATGAAGCCTGAGAGTTCTTAGAGCTACAATAGTAAAGTGTAGTCTGGAAGTACATCATGCAAGAGCATATCACAGGATTTTCCAACAGAAAGACATCTCGCCCTGAGCTCTGAAATTCAGAAAGGCATTGAAGGTTTGGAAAACATCATACCATATTATAAGTATTGATCACTTGGGACATAGTTAGTCATTAATCAGGTTTCAATTATATTTAAAGAAATTTGACCTCTAATTGCATGTACATGTCACAGAGATTTGGTGTTCTGAAGGAAAAGGGAAGACAGCAACGCTTTCTATGTAATTACGTGTATGCTTTACAAACCACCGAAACCTAGTCCAAGTAATCGTAGCATGAAACATCCGAAAACCAATAGGACCAATAAGCAATTGCAATAAAAAATCACGCAAATAATGTAAATGGTGATAATATCACAGAGTAACAAGTCAAGAACATAGAGAGAAAAATGGTATGGAAGAAAGTAACCTGGAGTTGCACCGAAGGCATCTTCATATTGTGGCTGCCGTGAAGAGACTGCTCCTGAGGGGAGCTTTTCACTGAAGAAAGAGATTGCATTCGTTCAAGCACACGCGTGACATCATTGACCCCTACGGAAAATTGTTGCTGCCCACACCAATGAAACCATGGACAATTTTAGATTAAGCTTTTCCACTGCCTTAACTCTTTAGCAAGTACTAGTATTTAGTATGAAAAGCAGAAAGTTAATTTTAAAAAAAAATAATAATAAAGGGAAAGAACCAACCTTGAGCCAAACTTTTTCAGGCAATGCTCTATCCAAATTTCTTGCAGATTCTATTTCCCTGTAATCAAAGCCTATCAGATCAATATAATCTTTGGGCATAGTATGTACAACAAGACTCACCTCCGAATCAACTCAAGGAGACGAAGGAGACTTTCTCCTTCATAGCAGCTGGAAAAAAAAAAGGAAAATTAATAATTAAAATTCACAATAAAAGTTGGCACCAAATAAATTTACGACTAGTACAGTTTTCGAATAAAAGAAGCCTTACAGTTGTTGCTTAGGATCAGAAGTGCTGAGTTCGACCGTGGAGGCTTTGTTAGGTTTATTTCTGCTCCTCATTTGCTAGTAAATACACTACTGCCTTTCGGAATTTCCCAGTGACAAACCCTAAATGGGAAGCTTCAAAATCTAATGCACCAAGCCTAGCTCAAAATAGAATTCCAGACAACTCCTAATTAAAATATTTCACCAACGATTTTTGCAGGAGTTAAAGGTCATAAACGAAGCTTTTATGCAGATATAAGAACTCCAAGATCAGTTTTTTTTCCCCTTTTCGTACTAGTAAAATTCAACTGGAGTTATTACGCTCTGAACAGCAAAGTCGGGAATTCTTCTCCCGCCGGCCGCACCGCAGTTTGTCAGAATATATATGCTCCCTATCCTCCCATTTACGATAACGGGTCATTGACTTGACCTTGACCCTTTTCAGTTACCGTATGATAGGCGTTCCCAACTCTTCCCTTCCGATATTGATTTGGTAAACTCAAAAGTCTAAAATCTAAACAGTTGCTTTTTTTTTTTTTTTTTTTTTTATCAGAGACGATGACTGTGTATAACCTAATATACCCTATACCAAAGGGAATGACGGACATAAAGACACCCAAGTATAATCCGAAGGGGATTAAACTATCACCGAATTAAATGGATGCACTATGCTTCCGCCTAAATTTTTTTAAGCAAAACCACTTTTTAACGTGCCAATTGATGGGAGATAAGGTTGTCTTCCACCCCACTAAACTTTAATATTTTGATAGTGGCCACCAGATTTTGGGCTAGTGGTTTAAAATCTAAAAAGTTGCTGAATTGATAAAATTATATATCTGTTTGATAACTAATTGAATTATAGCATTGAATTGAAAAATAAATTGCTTAGGTTTGTGTATTTTGAGAAAGAGAAACAAGTAAAGAAAAGGGTGCGCATGTGCAAAAGAAAATAATGAATAATTAAGATGTGTTTGAATATGCGTGTATCGAATTAAAAGAGAATGAGTGTGTCGATTAGGATGTGTTTAAGTATCGAATTAAAAGAGGACAAATATATATTTTGTGAGTGTGCAGTCAATTCAAGAAGATTTCAATGCAATTTTTTTTTCACTTAAAATTTTGTACACCAATTAAGTAATGCTCAATATATTAAACTGTGAAGCATTTATGTCACTAAATATACCAAATTCAAAAAGTTGTCTACGCAAATTAAGTAGTGGTTAATAGTATATTAAGTGATGATGCATTTATGTCACTAAATATACTAAATTCAAAAAGTTATGACTAAATTAATCTTCAGCATTAAATAGAGGTATCAAACAGGACCAGATTTTGTGAAACTATTTGTTAACCATGATTAACAACCCAATTTAATCCTAATTAGTCCCAATACCAAAGGCGGGGATTCCACAAAGAGTAGCAGTCCCACGCCTTCAAAGTGTCCCTCACAACTTTCAAATTGAAGTTGGAACTGAACAACTACTAGTCGGTCGAGTACTACACTACTAATTGCCCCTGTAGGGTTTCTATCCCACATCGGTTTCTGGGGGGGTTGGGTTTGGGTTTATTAGTCCCTGGGAGCTCCTCAAGAGTTGCCGGCTTTTGAGGTGTCTTTTGGGATAAAGTTAATAAGCAAAAGTCTTGCCGTTTCGGTAAAAAGACAAACGATGGGGACACGCAGGGGAGTTATACTGGGGTCTAGAGGAACTGGGTAGTCAGGCGGCCCTACTGGCTTGCCCCTGTGGGGTTTCCATCCCACATCGGTTTCTGGGGGGGTTGGGTTTGGATTTATTAGTCCCTGGGAGCTCCTCAAGAGTTGCCGGTTTTTGAGGTGTCTTCTGAGATAAGGTTAATAAGCAAAAGTCTTGCCGTTTCGATAAAAAGAGTACTACACTACTAAAGGCCTGTTTGGAACCTGTTTTTTAGGAGTTTGTCTAAAACTTTATTGTAGTGCACTGTAGAAGTTTTTGAAAAATTTTTGTAGAAATTTTTGTAAGGTGAAAAACTTTTTTATAGAAGTTTTTGTAATGTGAAAAATTTTGTAGAAGTTTTTGTAAGGTGAAAATTTTTTTTCCTTTTTTTTTTTCTTTCTTTTTCTTTTTCTTTCTTTCCTTTTTCTTTTCTTTCCTCTCTTCTTCTTCTTCTTCTTCTTCTTCCTTCCCCCTCCCCCTTCCCCGTTACCTCTGCCCCACCTCCAGCACCACCTCTCTTCTTTTTTTTTTTCTTTTCTCCTCTCCCCCCTCCCTCTCCCTCCCCCGCCACCCCTTTCCTCCCCTCTCCCCTGCCACCCCCTTCCCACTCCCTTCCCCATTCCCCCCCTCTGCCCGCCACCCCTCTTGGGCCGCCATCCCTCCCACTCCCTTCCCCGCCACCCCCTATGCCCATCATCCCTTTCCTCCCCTCTCCCCCGCCACCCCTCCCCCGTTCCCCTTCCTGCTTCTCATCTTCCCTCTGTCCCTTTCTTTTTTTCACATTTTTCCTCTCCTTCTCCTCCCGTTTCCTCTCCTTGCTCTTGCCGGCAGATGAAGCAGCGAAATGAAATTTTTTGTTTTTGGCAATTTTCCTTCTCCCCCCTCCTCCCCTTCCCCCGCCACCCTCACCCTCCCCCGTGCGATCTGGTCTAGCGATCAGATCAGCCAAAAGGGAAGGGGAAGTGGTGGGGGGAGGAGTGGGGGAGACGCAGAGAGAAAAAAAACAAGACAGATGGAGGATGGCAAGGGAGGAAGAGGGGGAGAGGGAAAAAGGGCAAAAAAAAAAAAAAGAAGATTGGCGGCGGCAGAGGTGGTGGTGGGTTGGGGTGGGGGAGGAAGAAGAAGAAGAGAAGGAGAAGGGATTTTTTATTTTTTTTTGTGTTTTGGATATTTTAAGTGTGTAGGTAAAAAATTTTGAGAAGTTTTTTGGGGTTCCTGTAGCAAAAGTTGTTAAAAAACTAGTAGGTAAAAAACTTGTCCAAAAACCTGACTTCCCCTTATTCCCATTAAAGACGAGAATGATAAATAGCATGTGGAGAAGTTGAATTCCTGGAAAACAGAAAACAGCCAGGTGCTGCTCTAGAGTCCTTCAACAGACATCGCGTACTTGTAACTACCAAGGCAACGGCAATCATTTCTGGCTGGCTAATTGGGAGACTACCTCTCCAAGAACTGCGTCTTGCTTTACATAATCAACCCACCTCGCTTTAATTCGAAGGATCTCCAGGCTTTGGTTCACGTTCATAGCGAATGAAGGATCCACTCGGGGTGCAAAGAAAGCTTCTATTTCATCTGCCATCTCGTGGCTGCAAAACTGAAATGGGAAGACGCTTTTAGACGGGCTGATGCCTCTGGAAAGGAACACAAGGGTGGGTACATGCATAACTCCTCTTGCTACCTTCTTTCAATCATTCTCTCTTATTTCCTAATGTACTGCGGTGCTTATCATTAACTCCTGATGCACATGACAGTGGTTACAATGGCATACCCACCCACATAGGATGCCTACTCGCCAAGTATAATCCACAAAATTTACTTTTCTATTGAGCCCAGAAGTAAGGGGGAGATGACGGATGAAGACTAAAAGCAATCATGCATATTCGTTTCCATATTTTAGCCTTCTCGACTTCAAGGAAAGTGAAACACTGAGGAAAAGGTAGAAATTAACTCTGACAGACTCGGTCACTTACAGGTGTAACAATTTTTCTAATGAGAGGGTGGAGTAGGGGACCAGTTCCCCATTTCTTCAGGATCATATCCCACCTCTCCTGCATTGATCCCAGACATATATGACTCAGTGAAACACAATATCTGGAATCTAACATATATATATGTGTGCAAAAGAAAGTAAATACCACAAGTCCTGAAATACCATCTCTAGTTATCCTGGATAGTTTATGCATATACTTTTTATGCAAAAGATTTTGAGTAAAGATCCAGAGTCAATATTCCAAGGCGTTTATGATTCTGAATTTCCTGACAGAGAAATGTTTCCAGGCAGCAACTTTTCCGATGTTGCTGTTCAAGGTTCTATCGAAAAACTTTCTTAACTCTCTGATGCCTACCTTCAACCATGTCCAGGCTGTTGATCTGCCTTCCAAGCTTATTCCCGAAGCAACATATATTATATCTTGACTGCGAACCTATAATGGAAGAATAATGTCATCAGTGACTGTAATTTGAACTGGAAACAGAAATGTTCTTCTTAATATTCATGATGTTCTCAACCAAATATACCAACCTCATCAGAAAACATGAAATCCAGAACTTCCAATACTATGGTTGTGTCTGAAGAACTAGCCAAGCAGCCTACAGATTTGAAACATAAGATCCTAGAAAAAACAAGCACTTTCATAACCCAACATGGAAAAGGACGTAGAAACAGGTGAACAACAGGAGGTGAAGTATTTGGATAGTAAATTATTTGAGATAATTTTGTGAAAAAAATACTGTAGCACTTTTTTGATATGATGTATATGAGATAAAAAGGTAATTGAAAAATGTGTTGATGATACAAGCAAGTTAGTGTGTGTAAATAAGGTGTAATAATTTACAATCCAAACACAAAGTTTCTCATATCAACAAGGTACTTGGCCCCCTCATCTGGAAAAAGTTAACTGGTTCTTACGCAAAATCCTAGTCTTCTCTTGCACTGCGTCAACTTCTCTATATAACCTTAGAAGATGTTCAAGCCCATTCCTAATATCATTGCTGGTATTCCTCATCACAGCAATATAAGCAGCCTGCAGAACATTCTCATTAAATGGATCACAAACACAGGGAAGAAGATCTGGAAACTGAGTCCTCCAGTTACCTTTCTGGTATCAACTGGAAGAACTGTAGTTTTCTTGTCATCCAAAAATGCTTGGAACCTCTTTAACGCTTCTTCACAAGTTTCTCTATGACCAAAACGAACCAAAGCCATCAGAACTTCTTCTCTCATCAAGGCAGTTAACTGGCTTTCCCCAGGTACGACATCCCAACCTAAACTTCTGCACGTATGGCAAGTGAATCTTGTGAAGGCTGAAGAGATGGGGCATATGGAAGAGTAGCCATGGAGAAAAAATTGTTAAGGAGAAGAATGTTGGAGGAGCAAGGGGGTCCAGGCAAGAAGCTTTATGAGATCAATTTGCCTGGCTATGAATCTGGAGTTGATCTACTTAAGGTTGACTTCCATAATTCAGGAACAGGGAATAGAAATATCAACATTAATATCTAGTAAAAATATCGATGTTATGGTAAATAAACCATGTTAATTATGTGAAAGCTACAGAGTTGAAAATCTTTAACATTTTTTCGATTGATGGATCCTTTTTATGAATATGGTTCCCTTGACATGCATTCAGAGAAAACAGGTAGAACCAACTACATTTAAGCAGTTCTTAATAGTACTCAGGAGACAAATGGAATAGACAAGACAAGCTTTATGATCATTTATGTAAGCCACTCTTACTCTGCACACAATAGTAGAAGATTGATAAAGAATTGTTTCAGAGTGGCCAGCAAATCTGGGATGGCATCATGAGCGATTTTTGCAACATTTTGACATACCTGTCATGAACATCACGGGAATTAGTTGTGTTCTGAGGCATGTAAAAAATTAGCATACTGAAGAGAAAATAGTACATCAATTAGTCTTGACAATGTGATCTGCTCGAGGTCCTTTTCGTATACTTCAATCAGTGAAAGCAAAGATGATAATGGAATCTCGCAAGCCTCGCAAAGAGCAAATGTATCATCCAAAATGCCTGCACAGGAACTTATTCAACACCGTGCAAATGAAACAAAAAATTAAAAGACTGCACCTATGTTGTCTGACAGGTAATTTACTTACGTGACAGGAAAGAATAAGCTGTCACTACTTTTCTCCCTAGATACAATCATTTGTCAAACGCATTCATGCATGCTAAATGAGCAATTCTGACACAAAACTGAGTTTACTGTGAAAGTTTCAAGTTAGTTGCTTGATATCTATCAATAAAAAAAGTGAAGCCCACCGCTTAGCTCTGATCAGGTTTCAAGAGAGTGAGTCAGTTCAAAAGCATTGCTGCATCAAAATTTTCGAGATTATTGTGAAAGAGGTTTTACAAACCAAATTCATCTGCTGCTGATATGCAGTTACTCTTTATAGCTTTAGCCAGTTGAGTTAAGAGGCCATCATCATATTTCACCCGATAAAATCCAGCTTGGTGGACATTTGCTTTTATCCAGAATTCCTCCTGAAAGTCTTCTGCACTTTCCTTCTGATGCATGTTTGAGCTGCCTCCTGTATGACAAATATCCGATATATCCAGTTCTCCAAATTCTGATTCAAGGAGGAAATTTGTGCGCCTATCATATGAACCAAGGGACAAGGTAATTGGAATGATCCAGTACCGGCCATCACCATGCAATCCAGAAGACAGAAATTGTGTCTGAAAACAGATAAGAAATATATAAGATTTTCCAGTAATACAAATTTGTCTCATCAACAGTGAATCCAAACTTTGATACTTGTGATTTTCATTGAAGATGAAAACCTGCTTAAATTCCAGACTGCAATCTTTTAATGATAGTGAGATAACTGGATAGCCTGTTTGCTTTGTCCATATGCTCATGATTTTGCTTACTCCAACACCAGATACTTCGGACAGAACACTCCATAGATCTTCTGTCTTGGCGTTCCCCCAGGCATATCTTGCCATGTATGAACTCAAAGACTTCTGACTCCAAAAAGCATACAACAGTTAACAGGTGAGGCTGGTTTTAGTCTTCTATTTGTTTAACAATAGTATCAATAAACACAAGGAGCTAGGAATGAGGATGAGTCAACAGCTGCTACATTAGGTTCCATTTCCTCGAATCAAATAGAGTTGACTTGTGCCAATTAGGGAAGTTTTTCTAAGGGATGCTTGGACGTTGGTATAATATAGATAATTGTATTTAAGCACAACAATTTTATGGAGGAGTTTAGCTGTTCCATAGCAACTATACCATGAAATGAGCAGACGTCACTTCTTAAACAACAAAGGAGTTCTTATT